CAACCTAATAGCAATGGCCTCCAACCAAGTAGCAATGGCCTCCAACCTAATAGCGATGGCCTCCAACCTAATCGCTTAACATCCAGCAAATTTATCTTTAGCTGTGGCTCTCTGGCGCTGAAAGCGTGACGTCTCAAGTGAGGACCCACCAGAAAGTGCCTGGAGACGCGCTGTCTTTTCACAGGGCGACTGCTCCTTGAATTTCTGATGTCTTGCATAGGCATAGCCTATAGCGGCTCAACATGTATTCTCATGAGTGGATATAGCTTGTAGAAGGCAAAATAAAGGGCCAAAATGTGCGTGAAATCAAACAGCCGTCTGTTGACAAATGGCAAAATGATGGTAGCCTACAATCACTTGAGGTGACCAGATCTTCCTGAGATTGGGAGTTGTCTCCTGCTATCTGCTATCTTGTGCCACTGATTAAATCAGAGTATTCCCTGAAACAAACGCTGTGGGCAGTTGACGTTTTCCAAGGCCTCATCGTCCTGAACTTCGGCGTCGATGCCGTCGATGCCCGCCAAGAAGTCAGCAGCAAGCTCTGGAGCCAATTGGATCTGTGTCCCATCTGAATCGCAGAATCGAACTTTCAGCTGTGAACTCCTTCGTGACTTCCTGGCTTTCAGATGCTTTCAGGACTCAGAATCCTCGCGAACAGCCAGCCCCGCGGTTTGATATTTGTCTGGACATCCTTTCTGGGAGTATTGAGCAGGACAAGCTATTGTCTGCATTGTTCTTGAACTTGGAGGATCTTGGAGGCGTAACCACTGTCTGTGGGAGCACTTCAACCTCTGACCGTCCTGAAGCTTTTTGATCTCGTCTCCAAAGCAGTCTGTTCCTGTGCCATCACAGCACTCTGAAGATGTAAAGATACGAAAGACACCCAGAATTTGCATTGATTTCAGCCTCTTTGAGTGACTTCCGCATCTCATCCAGCGCTTGTCTTTCCTGAAATGCGAGTCCAATGAACAATCCTAATCCATCTCTGCAACCAACAACGGGGCAAATAGTCTATTTGCAACGAAAACTAAGGAAAACCATTGGAAAACTGGCACGTCCAAGAGCTGCAAAGGATCAACTCGAAGTTGTAGCTCTTTTCGTTCCATTGCTTGGAATTCAAACCTGGTAGGCTAGCGGCTAGCCGGAGACAACGTGGCTGACGAGCACCAAGGTTGTCTCATTTGTGTCCAATTGCATGATTGTGGTTGCAACAGGCTTCTGCTGTGCTGATGGTTCTTGCTAGGCGGCTGTAGCTTGGAGTCAAGCTCTTCGACGAAATGAATCACTCCCTGCAGACAGTTCAAGGTTGCCGGAGCGTATCAATCAGGGTGAGATTCCGTGCATATGTAAGGCTTCACAAGGCTAGAGTCCAGCAAAGTCAAAATGATGTTTCTGGGCAACAGCTGCAAGGTCTTCAATAACGTTGACGATCTTGAATGTGTTAGGACTGCAGTTCCCTCAAGCTCGAGGCCGTGGATCAGGTAGGGACTGACTTCAGGAGTTAGAAAGAATTAATTTCAGAGGTAATGTCTTTCCATCCTTGGTTCAACAAGCCACGGGTGCGAAACGAATTCGTACGTCAAGACTTAACTATTTTCAAAAACTCACATGTAGTGATCTGAAGAATTAACTTTGGGTTTGATTCTTTTGCAATGTGGTTTCATTGACCATTGCTTGGGACAAGGAGACGAAGAACTAACTCTGGATTCTATGACACTATAGTTTGGGACACAGAGAAAACGAATTAACTCTGAGTCTTATTGATTCGGTTCAAAGCCCGGTTAAAATTCCTCTTGGGAGACTAGGAAACTAGATGAAACTGGTAGGGTTTACACCAAAGAAAGAACAGTGCCTCAGTGACACTATAGTTTGGAACACAAAGAAAAATTGACGCTGGAGTTAATTCCTCAAGCGACCATGCCAGAAATGACAAGTTTCAAATCAGGAGTTAATTCCTCGAACAACCATGCGAGCATACTAGAACTGAAAAGAATTACAGTAAATCAGGAGTTAATTCTTTACCTCTGGACAGCACTCCTTTTTCCGTGGATCATTCACCCTGGCAACATCCAACAAACCTGCAGAGCCCGCGCAACAATGCTCCCAAATCATCTGCCTCTCGGAAAACGCTCACCAAGTGCTCCACAAGGTCATCCACCTCACATGTCTGTTCTGTTCACATCATTGTCTCCTGAGGTTCTGTTTTGTTACTGTTTGAGCCTTTCTAGGTGTTCTTGTTAGCCTTCTTGGTACTTGTGGACTTGTAGATGGCTGGTGATTCTCCAGTTTTGCACACCGAAGGCCACTGCCTCCGGCTTCTGTAGGTGGTGCATGCTCTCACAAAAAATGGCAGAGATCTGCACGTGTGTCAAGTTGAAGAAGTGGCACAAAGCATTAATGTTGGGTCTGGAGAACAGATTTGTTCTGCTTTCCGTCCTTTCAGCCATGTTGAGGACTTTGAATCTCTGAGACTGCCCAACAAGAAATCCGTGTGCATCGCTTGCATCATGTCATGCTACAGTACTTGAGCCAAAAGATTTTGTCAAGGACAAAACATCCTGCAACTCCATTGGCTCAGGAGGACAGGCTGAGTTTCGTTCCCAATTGTCATCCCACTAGCCTGTGCTGTGGCATCTTCGTGGCCTCCACATTCAGCATCCCATCCCGTTCTTACTGCTTCAATCAATCTAGCGGATATGTTCAGAAGAAATGCTTCAGAGAACCAGCAAAAAGGCCCTGAAACATCCTCTTGGACTTGGCCTCCAAGCGCAAGCGGCACAGCTCCTGGACGTCCGGCACGCCTTGACGGCTTACATCTCTTATTTGGCTTCAGACAGCTTTTGCAACTTGGCCCCTCAAGCACTCTCGGCAGCAGACCATCCATGGCCAATGAAACCTTGAAGCTTTCGGTACTACCGATTCGGTAGTGTCCTTTTTGGTGACTTGTTGGACAATTGACGATGCCGCTACTTATCAGGGCTGTCTTTGACGATGCATTTGAGAGCTGGTTCAAGCATTGTAATTATTGACATAGTGACATACTATATTTGGGCCAAATAGGCTTTACGAGAAGCTTGATCGTGACGCGACATGAATGTGGGCACCGTTTCAGCTTGTAGGACTGAAAGAGAAATGACAACAACCAAGAACGCAAGTGTTGTTCTTTGTGTCCCATGTATCTTGGTTTTGCGTCTTTCACACAACACATGGCATCTTCCCCAAAGAAGGCCAAAAGCACTCGAAGAGAGCTTCCGGCGATCTTTTCTTTTGGCAAAGCACATGGGCGCTGCTGAAAAGGTCAACAAATGAACTTGGACAAGATTGAACTCTTATGAAAAAGCAAGTGTTGATTCAACATGCAACAGCATACTAAAGACAAACACTGCACATATCACGTATCACCTGAAATTCATGAGACTTCTCAAGAAGTCGAGGGCTGCAAACTTACTGGAAAATGGACCGGAAAGGACAGGAACATCAACGAGGTCAGGACAGAACCGCGCCATGAACACTCCACCAACTGAAACCTTGCAGGGCCTTCCACAACGCCAGCTGAAATGTTAAGCCCCTAAATTTCCTAAATGTCCGTGTCCCACCATGTCAACACAACTATGAGTCAACAATGTCATGGTGATGCATCTGAGTCCTCGCAAAAACCACTGCAAAACACGCATTCAAACATATTTTTTTTACACGAAATAGCAGGTTCAGGACACTGGCCCGTAGTGTTTACGGTGACTGCACAGGACAATGCTGCCACGTTTCGGGTGCATCGTACATCCATGCTGAAACGGCATGATACTCCGCATGCATTCACACATCCTGGCAGGAATGGTATCCAACATATAAGCCAACTCTTGCCGTACTGGGTGTCGGTCCAATGGGGTGGGGTTCGGCAACTCGGGCTTGCATTCACTCCAAACAAGGCCAAGGCAAGCAAGTCAAAGTTCTCTTCATCCGAAACTGGGATGGTGCTCATCTGTTCTCAGCACATTGTCTTCTACCAGGTTGCCAAGAACGCCTCAAAGAACGCGACCCCCGCCACCTAAGGGTCTCAACTCAAGCACATATACCCCGTGCAAAACAGAATACCGAACAAACACAACAAAAGGCATCGACTGGAGGAAGTAACTAGATCAACTAGCATAATATTATAAATCTATATATTTGCTACCCCCACCAATACACATCTTTTGCGTTGAAAGTGACAGACCAGTCATGAATGATGATGGATTGCAGATGTTGCAGGTGCTTGTGTTGTTTGATGGTTTGCAGCTGCTTGTGCGGCATGATTAAGTAGCATTGATGAATGAAAAGCAGGCTTGGTACGCCTGACAGCAGTGGAATGCAGCAGACATCCTTTTCATGAGCAGACAAATCTGGTCTCAGAATCAGGTGCTACTTGTTGAAAGATACTGAGACATTGTCCTTGTGACCAAGTCACCAGTATGCAACCAAAGGTCAGATCCGCGAAGCCAGTACTCATACTGAGCGGATCGAATTTGGGCTTGGATAGCTTTGCTTCCAGCCTTCACGTTTTAATTGCGGCGGATCCGTTTATAAGGAACCGCCAGGCACGGTCGATATGCTGTGTGTTTGCCTTGACCTTTAAGGCTTTGCCTCCTGGTAGCTTGTGAAAAACGACACGGACATACTGCGGAGCCGCCCATTTCACCTTGCCATTCACAATGGTTTTCTTTTTGCAGTGCACCACTGCATCACGCACAGAACACTCACCTTGGTTCGGCAACTTTTTGCAGAATCCGTGTGGAGCACCACCTTTCGATCAGCAAGGTGTTTTCCCGCCAATGGTGTCCAATCGGTTTTGTGAATGGCACCTGGGCCTGGAGCCCTTTTGACTGACAGTGCAAGTTTGAGACGGGTGAGGACTAGTGTGGATGGCTTGCCGCGAACGAGAATACTAGACCATTGCTCCGAGAGTATGCATTCGCCTTTGGCCACGGCATCATTGTAGGTGACATCTTTGGTGACATTCGCGTGATCGAACGTGGCTTCGTCGGCCTCAACGTCGACCCAGGTCTTGCCATTGGTAGTTGGGAAGCTTCTGACGCACACGCCTCTTCAAAGTACCCGTCCAACAATGAGGGCAGAGGCTGCGGGGCCACTTGGGAAGGAGTCTGTCCTGCCCAAGGATTGACAAGATCTTCCGGCCTGATGCATTCAGTATTTCGTCGATGGATCCAAGCCACACAGTCCAAGCGGACACCTGAAGCTGATAGGTCTCGGGCGCCGCGAACGTACTTCACCTTCTGGTACTCCAAGGATCGCTTCGAGGCGGGGCACTTGTGAAGAATGCGAAGTTTGCCGCGCTTGGCGACTATGCCAGGGTTTACCTTGCGCGCCATAAGGTAAACGGCAGGGCAGACCTTTACCAAACGGCTGCAGAAGTCACAACGCCAGAAGACAAAGTCATGGAAAGCCAGTGCAGGTGCTACAATACCAACACCAAATTACTGACACAGCATGTCAGACAGTCAATCATCAGTTTTGCAGACGAAGGAAACAGCGACCACGAAGGCACGCGTCACGAAGGAAACAGCGCTGACATTTGCAGTGTAGCGGGTAAGCGTGACTGGGTGTAATCCGGCGTTTTCGGGTTGGGCTGCACTCGGTGCGCTGCGCTCGGTGCGCTGCGCTGCGCTCGGCTGGCCAGCCAAGGGACATGAAAGCGAAGTTCATCCAGAGCGGGTACAGAAGTGGCAGCAGCTTCTCCGTGAGGAAAGGCTTGAGGGAATAGGTCTGCAATGGGAAGTCTGTTTCCAATTTCGCTCCTGCCATTCCCTCCGCCTTGTTTTGCGCCATGACACGCACTTTGGCCTCTGGCCAGATATCGGTGTCTCAGCATTTTCTTTTACATATTGTTGGCTCTCAGAGTCGCACTCTGGCGCGTTCTCATTAATGTCCTGAATCCCAGCCCAAAGTTCGTCATCTGCTGGTGCCCACTGAGTAGATTGTGATCTTCTCATAGGCTTTTCAATTGTATTGCTGAGAGCAAACCAAGAGACGTGGAAACCAGGCAGCCGGTCAAGCAAGGATACCAATGCCTTTTTCAAAGCCCAGGGACCAGGACAAGAGAGATGAGGGGGGAATAGGGAGTGCCAGCACACTACTTCAACGCATCCTTTGGGTTGACCTTGCCCGCAAAGTAGAGAGTTTTGATAACCTGCAATGCGCCATCTTCTATGTTGCGCGCCACTATGCACATGCGGCAGCCATCAGGTAGCGCACAATGGAAGACGAATGCTCTCTGGCAAAGACTCTGCGTTATGGTTGCAGATGCAATCTCCCAGCGAAGTCAAAGGAGCAAACTCAGGCACAGACATGTGAACATCAAAGAGGATGGTGAGCGCAGCCATGCCATTGAGCTTGCGACACGCGCCAGCAAGGAAGGTGGACAAGGATAAATGTTCTTCGACCCCGTCCTCGGCCTTGAAAGCGAAAGTTGGAGTGTCCAAGGCGCGCAGAGTCCAAGACCTTCCACCGTCTTTCCATTGCTGCAGCCACAAGTTGCGCCATGACATGACAAACAGCAGATGACAAAGCGGAGGAGAATGCTTGAGACAGGAAACTTAGCAGAGGGACGTCCGTGGTCTCTGGCTGTTGTTAGTTGCCGAAGTGTGTGTGAAAGTATCAGCAAATAACTTTATAAGACAGTGATCACGCAGATATTGCTTTTGCTGTACGTGTTCATGCAGACAAGGTTTCGTTAATTAAAACTCTAACACATTGCTTGTAATGCTTGTGACATGAAACTTCACATGCGTCCTCTGAGCATCTCTGAGCGCAATATATACAAGAATGAATGTATCTTTTATTTTCCTTGGCGCGAGCTGAAATTTAAAATCGTGCGAAAACGCACGAAGTGAGGCAGGCCCTAATCAGAATTCATCATAGCCTCCACGTCTGTCTCACCCTCCTCTTTCTGCAGCCTTTCGATTTCCCGCTCCAGTCGAGCAATGACCGCTTCTTTCTTCTCGATGGTGACCTTGGCTTTTTTCGGCTCTTGTTGACAGTGATGCAAAGCTGAGAAGCTGGCATCGAAGTCCTTCTTGGCCGTCTGGAACTGGGCCACTTTGTTGTCAGTGGGCTTCTTCTCAGAGGATTCAGACTCAGAGGAAGAACCGGAAGATGCACTCATTGCGCGCTTCTTTTTGGCCATGGGCTGTGACTTGGACTCTCAGAGTGACGAAGATGAGCTGGAGGATTCATCCTTGAGGGCGGGCGGAGCCGTGCTTGTGCTTCTTGAGACCAGCCCCCCCTACTTGCACCAGGTAGACGTGCCATGCGCTGGCTCGCATTGCCCAAAGCATTGTGTAAGGCTTTTCTGTCCATGGGCTGACGAATAGGATGAACGAAAATGCTGCCCTCGTTGACTTTCAGCATGAGGTCTTCCGGACTGGGCCGGCACATCTTCACCTCCGTTTCTGGTGTTGTTGGTAAAGTCAGCCGCAGGATTGCCTCGCGTCCTTGTACGTCACAATGTCCAGCCACGGAAAACGACGTCATGACAGAGACACGAAATAGATACAACCACAAGTCTTGTTCTAAGTTGGAACGCTGAATTTTGAGGCACACGCGGACGAAGTACTTAAGTAAGATACAATGGGAGTTGCGTAAAGTAGTAAAGTACCAGGAATCAAGAATCAAGAACCAAGACTGCACAGAAAGTCTTCCGGAACAATAGTTTCTTAAGAAATCTTAAGATTTCCCTGGAACCAAGAAACCAAGAACCAAGATTTTAAGATTTCTGCAGATGTTTGAAAAATGTTCTTGTTTGCATCTTGTTCTCAGATATAATCTTCACCTGAGGACACTCCCCTTTCAATTAACTGATAGATTATCATCCCCAAACATGGTACCACCCTCCAGAAAGTGTTCCAAACAAATGTGAAAAAAGGTCTCAAAATATCACTCAAAAACTTAGTCCAAAATAGCACTAAAACACTGTAATTTACAGTATAGAACACACAAAGGGTGTGTATTGGAGGGGGGGTACCATATATTTGTACATTGGCATCTTTGATCCTGGCAGTAGCAGCAAAGAGGAAGGCTGCGAAGGTGAGAGTAGCCAAAGCCCAATATTGAAAGGTCTTGACCTGTCCGAAGAGATCCAATGCCAGGGCCATTCCAGCAAAGGTCACACCGATCTCAAGTGAATCGATCCAGCCTCCCAGGATCTCTGCAACGCTGCAGCATCCTGTCGGATGCGCTCGTTTAAAGCCTATAAAGAAATGCCCAAAACGGGAATCCAAAATGAGGATGGCTAAGCGTGCCCAAACTGTGAGAAACTTCATGCCCGTTCGGCCCATACAGCACTACAAACGCGCTCTACCAGACCCGTCCTCAACCCAAAAGAAGAAGAGTGGCATTGAAGACTTGATACCGAAGGTTGCCTGATCACTGATCCATCAATGTCTGCGGTGAGAACAACACCCATAGCACCTGTTGGAATTCACTGTCTAGTTTGGAGTGCAGTACTGCGTGGAAGCATTCTGCTGCTGTGTCCATTTAACCATAAAAAGGGAGCCAAAAAGCTCCAAAAAGCCTCGCCAGAAACTTGCAACAAAGATTGCCCACCTCAGCCTCATGCACTGCTAGCATGTAAAACTCTCGCTGCTCCTGAAGGATTCGGCTAACAGGTGCCTGTTAGAATTGCTCGCTACTAGGAGCATGGACGCTACTACGAGCAAAGGGCATCGCTACTAGGAACAATGTTCGCTACTAGGGGCTCCTGGCCTTACTACTAGGAGCAAGAAGCCACTAGTAACAAGGACGCTATTAGGTTGGAGGCCCTCGCTATTAGGTGGAGGCTATCGCACAAAGAATGATTGGACAATGCTCGGTGTTACAACGGCAGCCCGCTTGCAAATCCTCGTTCATCAGCCGCACACCACTACGCCTTGGATTGCAACTCTTCTTCCAAGATCTTCGGATCTCAGACCCCTTTCAAACGAGTTGTGTGTGGGTTATTCGGTTATTCCAAGTCCATTCAAGGTTGACCTTTATACATTGTACTCCAAGACTTGCGCAACAGACTTCATGAGAGCACCTTACCTACCCCTTGCCAACCTTATACATCAGAAATGTTGACAATACATGACATGCCTCCGACTCCACACATTGGGCCCCCAGCGCATTTGGCTTCAGGTACTCGCCGCATCTGAAGCCATCCGCATCACTGGGCGGGAGACAGAAAATCAATCAATGGATGGCACCATCGATGGACACTTAGGATGCAAAAACCTTGTAATACCCGGATGTTCTCAAACTCTCAGGCGGCAAGTTACTGTACAAAACAAAAATAAGAACAACTTGCTGGTTTTTTGCCCTCCCAAGAGATTCGTTTGGCTCTCTTAGAATCTGACCACAAACATCTATCAGAAACGCAAACTCATGACATGGGCCAACCCTCATCACCCACAAAGTCTGACAGGAACCCATCCATTGCCTGGATCGATTCTGAGGCTACTGACCAACAGTTCAATCCAACTGCCCAGTAGTCATAACTGGCAGGAGCCTGCAATCCCATGACAGCAAAAAATGGTGTCCAAGTTTCAAGACAACTAACGCTGCCGCTAATTCAATACTGGCTGTCAATAGAAAATTATCTTCACAATTCTTCGCACACTACCTTTACGAACCTTTTTCCTCACATCCGTTCAACCATGTTCAACCCCTCTTGCGGAACCGTGTTGCTGTTCATGCTTGTCCAAACCTTGGAGGCATTCGGGTTCACAATTGGGGCCACGCAGTACACATCCTTGTTCTTGAAACCTTCCGGAAAAGAGGCACAAAAGAACACACTTGGTGAACTGCTACAGGGTGCCTATGGACTTTGCGACATCTAAGCCCGTCCCAGGTGCGAAGACCACTCCTTGAATGTGCAGCAAAGCTTCTCCAACTGTTTTTTGGTCTTCAGCAAAGCACAGCTTCTCCGACTCCGAGAGGAATTGTTTCCAAAACGCCGATACGTTCCGTCTTTCCCTTGATTCTCACATTTGCACGTCTCAGAGACGGACTCCCAACGTCTAAGTATCTGGAGGTTGAGTCCACTGCTGGATCCTTGGCGATCCAGAATTGAAATGTGTGCAAGAATGCCACGAGGAGTTCTCAAGGCAAGCTTAAGTCATGGAATCTTTGCTCTTGTTCCCCAAAAAGTGTGGGCACACTGAGGGGTTCTTACGGTAGTAGAAAAGCAGCTGGGGCGCAGCTGGGGCTTAGATCGCTGCAGCGCGCGGCCGTGTTCGCTGCTATTTACAGTACATTCATGACTCGCGACATCGTCCATGTGCACTTCGACTGCGCAGGCTCGCAGAATCTGGGTGTCTGCGGCGGGTGCTTCTCACGACTGCGTTGTGGTGCCGTGCGCATTTCCGTAAATGGTGATCACTTTTCGTGGCAGGCGCAAGGGAATCCTCGTGTTTTGGTGCTCCAAAGTCGACTTTTCGTGACAGGCGCAAGGGATCGGAGCTGTTTTACTTCCACATGCACTTTTCGTGGCAGGTGCAGCACTTTGGACATGGTGTGGTGATCGTCGAGGAGCTCATATTTCGTGACAGGTGCAGCGAATCGTGACTTTTGGACATGTGGCTCGTTTGCAGATTTCGTGGCAGGCACCGCACTCTGTGACCCTCGAAGTGCAGACTTCGTGGCAGCTGCAGCAATTTGTGAACCTCGAAGCGCAGATATCGTGACAGGTACAGCACTTGGTGAACCTCGAAGTGCAGATTTCGTGGCAGGCGCAGCACTTGGTGAACCTTGAATTGCAGATTTCGTGACAGGTACAGCACTTTGTGGACCTTGAAGTGCAGATTTCGTGGCTTGGTGAACCTCGAAGTGCAGATTTCGTGGCACTGGTGGACCTGGAAGTGCAGATTTCGTGGCAGGCAAAGCACTTGGTGGACCTGGAAGCGCAGATTTCGTTGCGCGCAGAGCACTTGGTGAACAGGTGCAGCACTTGGTGAGCCTCGAAGTGCAGATTTCGTGGCAGGCACAGCACTTGGTGAACCTCGAAGTGCAGATTGCGAACCTCGAAGTGCAGATTTCGTGGCAGGCACAGCGCATGGTGAACCTCGAAGTGCAGATTTCGTGGCAGGCACAGCGCTTGGTGAACCTCAAAGTGCAGATTTCGCGCCCCTGCCACTTCTTTGTGCTCTCAGATGCTCACACTCTCACTCGCTTCAGACTGAACCCATCCAGCCACAAAGCTGGAAAGTCACCTGGCTCAACCAAAGCTTTAGCTGTGTTTGCTTTGGTCGGATGACGTCAGAAGCCACTTGTTGGAACTGCAGGGGCCCATGAACCAGTCTCGGAATTTCTGTCGTGTTTTTGAGGCTAAATTTGGCTTCGAGGAAAGAAGCAAGTTTATTAGTAGTTTCGATGTCTAGCATATGTACCCTATAGCAAAGTTTAATGTGTGAGGTGGAACCATTGAGGTAGTAGGTGTTGGGTGAGTTAGGTGTGGAAGTTGTGGGGGGTTTGTGAGGGATGTGTCAAAAGCGCCATCTTTGCCAAGTCACCCACTTCCTTGTCATCTTTTTCAATAGCTGCCCCCCCCTACCCCCTAGACGCCTAACACATGAACATGTTGCGAGGTTTTTAGAAGAGACGTGGAGGAGTGAGTTCCCTGTATTATATAGTAGTATATATTTAAATCAGGGTGGAGGAGTAATTGTATTGGAGAATACAAGCGGAGGAGCATTACACTCCTCCACATTTTGTTGTTGTGTAAGAGAGATCATTCCGTTTCACAAACTGTTTTTGGTGTTTTTCTTGAGTAGAATTTCAGCGGAGGATACGAAGATGTCAATTTTGGGTGTGGGCATGGGAATTTCATGATTGGTAGAAGTTTTGTTGACGCCGTTTCTGGCCTCAAAATAATTTGCAATTCTTTAGACCAGAGTACCCTCTCAGTCACAGAGTGTATGTTTACATTTCATTTTGGCGCCAAGTAAAATTGAAAAGCGCAAGAGGCAAAAAGTGGTGTGTGGAAAAGACAAGGTTTGTCGCAAGCAAGGAGGTATGTGAGATTTGATGGATGAGGAAATGGAGACGCTTTATGGCGCACTTGCGCATCCAGAAAATGAAGATGGGGGCTTCGGTTTTTCAGTTCCGCGAATGAGAAATCAGCAGATCTTTGAAGCCAATTCTGGCTTCAAAATTTGCCTTTTACGCTTCCATTTTTCAATGTTTGAAGCCAAAACTGGCCTCAAATTTGAGGCCGTTTTTGTCACTCACCCACTCACTCACTCACTCACTCGCTCACACTCACTCTCACTCGCATTCCGACTCACTCACTCTCAGCACCCACCTTCACTCTCACTCACACTCACACTCACTCTCATTCACTCACTCTCACTCTCACTCTCACTCTCACTCACACTCACTCTCACCCACACTCTCATTCACACTCGCACT